TGGTGCTGAGGCGCAGGCCTTCTCGTCATCTGCCGAGAGGCAGACTGGCATGAAAGTTAGCTGAAAAAGATTGGGCAGATAAGGACCAACTGAGCTGCTGTGGAGGCAAAGCATGAGGACCAACATCTCCCCCACCCCTGGCAAAAGCCCACACCTAGGCAGCATGCTCAGGCACTGCCTCCTTCAACTTGCAAACAAAGATGGCTTTGCACAGAGTACATCTTGGCTGAGGCAAAAAACAGCCATTTACTGCTAGCCCCAAGAGCTGCAAGTCGGTCACCACTGCTTTGCAGTCATTCCAGCACACATACGAGTCCAAGCAGTTTGCACAGCTCTACCACCATGCCTAGCTTCCGCTTCATCCCAAGGAGATGCGCAGATAGAAGAAGAGAATGCTTTCATTTTAAAAAAAATGAGGCAGCACCATTGCTACAAGCTTTGGTAACAGGCATAGAGATCCCCAACAACAGAACAAAAAGACACCAAACTACTCAAAAAAAAAAAAAAAAAAAAAAAAAAAAAAAAAAAAAAAAAAAAAAAAAAAAAAAAATCCACAGAAGCCTCTGGGTTTTCGGGGGGATTTTTTTGCATTTTATATATTATCCAGTTTCACATTCTCATAGGATCAGCAATTATAGCAACTTATTCTCAAGTCTTTTAATACAAGCAAGAGCCATGGTTGTATATAATAATAATAATAATTATAATTATAATTATAATAATAATACTTAAAGCACTTCAATACCAAGCAATAAGATGCTAAAACAAAAAAAAAAAAAAACAAGAATTGCACAATTTGTTTACTATGCCTGACAGAATCATTATTACAGAAAACAATCCTTTCCTTTCAAGCTTTTAACTAAACATTAACTTCTCTTACAGGATTACAATTTCTCTTTAATAATAATAATAATAATTAATTGCACACAAAACACACAAGAAACTCTTTGATGCATAAATATTTCCTTATTACACATGGTACAAAAATACTCATACTTTTTTTTTTGTTCCGTATTCCCATAAGGATGGCTGATTTGGCAAGACTGGATTCTCTCCAATCAGAAGGATTGGGGGGGGGGGGAGGAGAGGTTAGAGATATATATATATTTTACAGCCATTCTATACATGTCTGAGGAAAAAAAAGCCCTGACTTTAAAAAACTGGAGAGAATGGACAAGAAAAAACCCAGTGCATCATACTTTAAAAAGAAACACTTTTCAAATTCTTCTGGTTGTACTGGAAGGAGGGAAAGGGAAGTGAACGGAGAATGGGTGAGACAAGGAGAGTTAGCAAATTTTTTCGAAAGCCAAGTCTTCACAGAAGCAAGATGAAAAACCTTGATGGATCAATAGTTAGGCCAAGACCTGTTGCTACGGTTACACAAGTGCTAGAACAAACAAACTTACACACTCACACATACACAAGTTAAGTGTTTTAATTCATGCCAGAAAAACATGCAAAACCGATTGTCTTTCATTTCCTTCGGCAGAAATGCATAAACAAACGTTTAGGACAAGGCAGGCCTGGGTATTGCTCTGGAAACAGCAAGGCCTCCAATGGCACCAGTGTCTCGTTGGGTACAAACCTGTCCACCACCAGGATTGAGCTTCTCCAACTAGGCTTCAGTGTAGGAGAAAGGAGAAACTCAGTCATGGAGCCTCAGGAAGGGAGGCAGGTGAGGGGAGGGGGTCAAGCAGACACAGAATGCAGTCCACTGAGTTGGGTTCAGATATATATATATTTTCACAGTCTTTGAGGGGAAGGGGAGGGAAATCCCACAGCTCCATAAAAGGAGAAGTGTGAGGTTACTGCAGACTTGGCACCTTGTCAGATACCTACAAAATAAACCAAAGGGATTTTGATTGATCCACTGCTTCATCCCTGGCACATCACTCCATGGAGAGACAAAAAGGGAAGAATGCAAGCCAAGAAGAGACTCTTAAAAAAGAAAAAAGGAAGAGAGGAGTGTTACTAGGCATGCCTTGTAATTAACTCCACATGCCATTGTTCAAGCCAGAGAATGTAGCGGGTCACCTCCCCAAGCAGCACGTGGAAGATACTGGCAGCAAACCGCCACCTCCTTCCTAAAGGACAACCTGGAGCAATGGAGTTCATAGAACTGTTCTGACCACCAGGAAGAGCTGCTGACAGCTGGTGCGGGTGACAGCAGGCTGCACTGGAGCAAAGGGGTGATCTGGGACCCAGAAAGACTTCACCTTTTCTCCCAGCCCTCCCTGGACTCAGAGCTGTGCACGGGAAGCTTCTACTGTGGCACCACTGGGAAGTCCTCCCATCCCCAGTTGCATGGCTGCTTCAGGCCTAGTCTCTCTCCAAGGCCAAGTCAGAACCTTTGCCTTCAGAATTCCCCAACAGCCCTTGCCTCATCTCAGCCTCAGTTCAGGCCGGTCTTGCCTGCTTACCCACTGCCCTGCCCCTCGTTTTCCTACTTTGAGGATTCCTTCAACTCCTGTCTCCCAGGTCATGGTACTAACATGCCATTTGGCTGCCCTTACCCAGTTCATGCTGCCCCTTCCCTGCCCTGTGGGACTTTGAGGCAGATTTATCCAGCCTACAACCAGATTTACTCTGTGCCCAACACAATGGAGCCCTATTTTGGGGTGGCCCTTAGGTCCAACCAGTAAGGGACTCCAAGGCATCCTGCCAATACTCAATACAAGCACCTTGATGAAAGTGATGTCAGTCTCTGCCAACCCCAGTGCAACAGCTGGGCAGTAATGTGGCTCGGAGGCACTCCTCCTGGCAAAGGACAAATTTGCCAGTGGGACATTCAGCCTCTATGCATTTACTGGTTATCCTCACAAAGCTTCAAGCCACCTTCAGTTGAACTGAAAAGGCAACACTTATTGTGACGTAACCCAAAACAGTCATCTACTGACCCAAGGTGGCCATTAGTAGCTTCTTTGCATTTAGGCAATGGAGGGTCCCAAAACTCACTCAAGCAGCAGAGCCAGACTGCCAACAGCAACTCTACAACTCCAGGCCTCGCATCTTCTAGCAAGATGCAGAAGGAGCTTTTCTGAGGGTAGCCAGGTTGGGTAGGTGAGGCCAACCTTAGATCCAAATCTTGCCCTATCAGCTCTACGGTGATATGTGAAAGCCCCACTCAAAGCAGAGCTCTGGGCACAGGACACCCTTTGCACGCAGTCAAGAATAGGAGGATCCAGAACCTATCCATCCCACTCAAGCAAGGTACTTACCGAAGAGCTAACAAAACTGACGAGACTTCCATCCTTGCTGGGTAGCTTCAGAGGGAGGATACCAGCGCATCTGTAAGAGAAAGCCATTCCACAACTGTGATCCAATGTCAGATGAACCAGAGGGTCCGGGAATCAGGACATTTTCCACCACATACAGGTTACGTGGAGGGTTGTGCACCAGTGCCAGGGGCCAGCAGGGACTCTAGGATGATGCTATCATCCTACTGGGAGTTTCTGCTGTTCAAGGCAGATGTAGTGCATCAGTGCTACTCAGCATGCCAGATTTCCCAGTTCCAGCAAGGCTTTTTGCACAGCTGAGCTCATGCTTGAAAAAGGGTAGTTAGACTCTGATCTCTCTCTCAAAAGTCCTTTAAGCTAACGGAGCTTTCCTCATTTAGTACTTAGGATCAGTATTTAGCTTTAGGGAGGAAGTCAAGTCTTTGTTCATCCAAGGATCCAGAAGTGCTGACAGTGTATTGCTGGCAAGTAACTACTGCTGTCTGACATCTCCAAAAGCCCCCACCTTTGCCCCTGGGCAGGATAAATATTGGTAATACCAGCCTGACCATGTGAGAGCATGACTTGGAATTCATGCCTTAGAGAACACGACAACCAATCTTGGAGACCTACCACATCTTAGTCTTGTTCTTAACATACCCATTCAGACATCCAGAATGTGTCCTTCAGTTCCAAATCCATGAGTAACCAATTGACTAGTTTGCCTTTAGATCCACATACAGTGAGCTACTTCAGCTGTTTCCACAGGCTTAGGAAGGAGACAAAGCTTCTCTCCACTACCTTTGCATGCTCTTTTGCACTGCTGAATACAGTTGCTCATCTCACTGGTAGGGGCAAGGGGAGTTCTAAAGGACTCAAGTCCTAATCTGAAAAGGATGGTCCTTGGCTAGCCATAACCACCAATTCACACCTATAAAAAGACACCAGCATACCAGTTGCCACGTACCTACTGAGGCCACATAATAACACAGCCTACAAGATTAGGAGAGAGAGACAGAGACATTCTTTGTTCCAATAAGTTTAAGGAGGCCAGGAGTATGTGACTACACCAACTCCCAGGACTGAGGCAGTGGAAGTCTTCCTACCTTGAAGAAGTGACAAAACAAATCTTGGACTAGTCATTCTTACTTGGGTCCTGGGAATAAGGACACACAAGGCTTACTTTATGTACCAACAGGAGCCTTCTTCCTGGCAAGACAGCACTAACAGGCATCTGTACTACTTTTCATAGAATATGGTATTAGTTCCACTACCAAGATCAAACAGATGGCTAGTAAATACATCCCAACTTTTCTATGGAGTCAACCCCAGCCAAAGGAACAAGATTAAGCCCTTCCTTCTATTCCTATTACTAGTCTCCAAGAGGACATGGCAAGAGCAATACAGATCATTCAGGAAGCCCCTGAGGCCATCAGCAAATGTGTTAAGAGGACATGCCAGCCAATCATGTTTGAGAAGGCTCCAGCAAGGCACAGTTACTGATATCCCAGACCTTGGGTTCTACAGCTCACCAACTGATGCAACAAGGTATCCTCAATGCTCTCCCAACAGCAAGGTCTCGCTGTCCATGAACTGGGGTGCTCACCTCTAGCACCCACCAGTGCACCACCAGAAGAAAAAAAAAAAAACAAAACAAAAAAACAAAAAAAAAACCACACACAAAAAAACCCCACCCAGATGATAGTCATCTGCCCTGGTAGAACAGGTCTTGGGACAAGAGGGGACATCTCCATGGTTGCTCTGGCCCACCAGAGTCTTTCCCTTCCATAGGAGGAAAACAGCCTATTCCCAGCAAGGGTTTGGGCACCACTGCAGCAGAGAAGCCCAGCATCTCTCATGCCAGAGCCCCTTTTTCAAGTGGCCAACGAGGTTTAAAGGACTTTGCAGCAGATCCCTGCAAAGAGAGCCCTCTGGCTTCTCAGGACAGTGGGAAGCCCAGAGATGGTTCCTCATAGCACAAAGCATCTCTAAACCAGACAATGGTGCATGTCAGGGGGGAGGGTCATATATACATGAGTGATCTAGCCCATCAGACCCTCCCCCCTGACATGCACCATTGTCTGGTTTAGAGATGCTTTGTGCTACGAGGAACCATCTCTGGGCCTCCCACTGTCCTGAGAAGCCAGAGGGCTCTCTTATATCTATATCTAGTGCCCCC